GCGCAGGGCGGTCGGCCAGTGGTTCCACGGCGAGCTACCGTTCTTCCGGCAGAGCGACCTGGTGTTCCGCCGGGGCACTGACCCGGCATCCGGCCGCGCCATTGGTCACCTGACCCAGGTGATCTGGGCGCGCACCACCAGGGTTGGCTGTGGCTACATCGAAGTGCAGGCGGGCAGGTGGGTGAAGCGCACATACGCTTGTAACTACGGACCGGGTGGGAACATCCGGAACCACAAGATCTACCAGCGTCGTTAGTCCGGCGGACCTTCCGTTGCTCTGCCGCTGTTTGAAGCCGGAGCGCTGCCTGCAGAATACCGCCTTGGTCCACCGCTGCCCAGCTCCTGATGGCTCTACGCTCTACACGGACGGCAAAGTGTTGCTCAGATTCGCAGACCGAGGCAGGTCTCTTATAGCCCACGATGGCTTGTTTACTAAACCCTTTCGCGTCGCACATATTCGAAAAGGCCACGGTAGTAACAGAGACCAATGGAAGTAATCGAGGACCCAGCAACCCAAATTGTGAATATCATTTCCATAGTTTTTTTCTAGAATAGCGAACCACAATTTGGAAGAAAAACAGAATGGACCCTATCTCATAAACAGTAATTTGGGTGTTCGGTGTTTCGGCGCTTTGGTTCAGACGCTTTGTTCGGCTGATATCGTTTTTCGATTCCGTGTTCTGCTTGGCTGTTATGAAATAAATTTGCATGATTCAACTATTGCTGTCACCGTCTGTGGTACCACGGCAAAGCATCTTTGCTAACGACGCAACACAATACGGCAGCCCCTATAAAACATATCGTGACTGCGACGTTAAAGTCAAATGCATAACCTTCAACATGGACTCCACCAGAGAGGCGAATCAACGTCTCAGAAAACAGGGGTGCCAAATCTTATCTCTAATTAATTTCTTTCGATGAGTCGTATACGGTTTGGGAAGTGCGGATGCTATGGTATTTGCGCCCCCCCCCCCCCCGTTCGTTTGTCTATCCTGCTGGGATGGGAGCAGAGCCACGGATTTTTGTTTGGGGGGGGGACGGGGGCAATACCATTTTGAATGGGTGGGGACACCGACCACTCATCAAACTGTTAAATGCATTAATATCCGTGCAAATAAACTTCGATGATCATAAAATCAAATAGGGCCTTTTGATTGATCCCCATGATCAAATCCCCTGAATACCGTGGGACTTCCGCTCCAGCAGAGAACCTCCCTATCGCAAAACAGGGGCTCCTGTTCCAGAAAAGGGCCGCCTTGCGCGTTAAAGGCTTCCTAATCCAGAATAGAATCCTCGCGTTCAAACAGAGCCTACAAATCCAGGAAAGGGCATCATTATCCCAAGACAGGGCATTCCGATCGGAAACTGAGGCCAGCTGACGCATGAGAGAGGCCCTCCTGTTCCACAACAGGGGCTTCTTGAGGCAGAAAAGATCTTCTGAGTCTGGCTTGGTACCCTCTAGCTCAGTGATGGGGCTCTTCGATTTGAAATTGGGTAATTCTTATGTAGCCGACAAGCCTTTAGCTCGGGAAAAGGGCCCTCTCAAAATTCTATTGGGGGGGGGGGGGCGGAACATGCTCTCCTGAGTGGGCAGGACGGATGGGGCAGTTGCCCCGTTCCCCCTGCTGGCAGGCGGGAGGGGGCAAGGGTATACTTTTGGTGACCCAAACTTTTTCGGGCCACTTCAGAAGACTGCTGTTCCCCATCGGGATGTCCTATTTTGTTTTAGATGGCCTTTTGCCGGATTTACAGGCCCCATGTGACAATCGGAAGAACCTCCTTCCGGATTAGGAGGCCCTTTATGCATCGGAAGACCTTTTTATGCAGTCGGGGGCCTGTCTTGAGATAGGAAGGCCATTTTCTGGGTGGAGAATCACCCTGCTTTTATCAGAGGGCGTTGTTCAGGATTAGTGTCGACATTTATTCACACACCTGAAATAACAATTTTATTGGGGGAACATGCTCCATCCCCCTTCCTTTGAAAATGACACTTCCCAAGAGGCTCAATGCGAGAAGGCCCCTGGAAAACCCTGCCCCAGCTGAAATCTGCGGCGCTCCTGCCGGCTCCCGGGGCTTCAGGGGCCTGAACTAATGACAACCGTAGAACGGCCATTTCGGACATTGTGCGCGCTGCGCGTTTGCGCAGCACGCACGCAACAAGCGGTGCCGGGCATGCGTCCGCTCGTCGGCTGCGGGAAGCCGTGGCTATGACTGACAGAGCAAGATCACAATCACAATCCTAATAAGTCGTAATATCCAGAGCCTTCTGACTTGCTCACGGTCACTATCACTCAGCCGCTCTAGGGACAGCCGCTCTCAGCTCGCTCAGTTTCGTTCCTCTGTCTTTGGCTTTCGGAGGATGCGACGTGCCTTTGAATGGATGCGAATCGCATGTATGTATCGACGCAACGCATGTATCGACTTGATAATGAGGCCAAAGCCCTCACTTTCCCTTGTTCTTTCATCGCACAGCCCTGGCCAGCACAAGGCAGCCCATGTCCTGCGGTGCGCAGGCCGGTTTCAGCGCGTGCCATTGCACAGTTGACGCCTCAATCCTGCGCAGCACTCCCGCAGTGTGATCAATGGCCGCAGAAATGGATCTGGGCTTCCGTCGAACGCTGCAATCAGCAGCCAATTAATCAGCCCGAACGAGCGGGATCCGTCATTTAAATAACAAACGGGTGACGCGCACGACTTCGAGGCGGTCGCGCTTGATCGCTGGCTTTGGAGCAGGCAGCAGTGCTGGAGCTAAAAGCGTTGCCGACCGATGCGAAAAACAAAACACGCGACGTGGCCATGAGAACGGCGTCGATGTATTCTAGATTCGTGCAGCCATGCTCTCTTAGAAAAAGCACACGGGTTAATGGATCTCTTGATGCATTACATGACCCAACTTCGTGATTGAACGAACGGCCCGGCCATGACGTCAGCGAACCTACCGGCGGTCGTGACGCTTCCGTCAGTCTGCTGGTACGTAGATGACTAAAATGGCATAAAATGATGCCATGGGCGATCAGTAACTTGAAAGAACTAACGACTCATTTTTCAACATCATGGCACATTATTGAACTCTCGCTCAACGAGGGAGGAGGCCTCCCGAAGTTCTTGCGTAGAATATTATTTATGCTTAGAGCACGGTGCTGAAATTTTGGGCAGCTGCGCTGCCATAACTTGTTTGCATATTCTGTACGATTTAAATGTTTCTGATCCTGGCTGTTCATGGTCTCAGACCGGTTTCTCAGGTCATGGCGGCGATATTTTGATCGAAAATGTCAAATGACGCTTATTTCTCGTGATAAATAAATTCAAAGGTTTCCTTGATTGCTTTCTGAGCTGTTTTACCGCTTACTGCATTATATCGTTTATTGTTTTTTTCAGGTCAGACCGTCCAAGCTCAAAGTAGGTCAGACTTTGACCTTTATGGCCATGCCTGATGACTTTGAAATCCATATAGCCTATGCCGTATAGCACACATCTCACATCTTTGGAAGGTCTTTCTAACGCTGTTTTCTTCATTAATGTAAATTATTTTGTTTTTTACATAGGCGGATGGTCCAAAGCAGCAATAACATTCACCCCTCCAGCAGAGATGACATAGCACAGATCACATCTGTCGATTTTTACGTGTCGATCAGATAGCGCTCACAAAAGCTGTTCAATTAAGTTGCCGCATTGTTGTACCGTGCTCTGTTCTTCAGATAACGTGGGTGGGAGACTAAAAAGTGCATGTTTAATCATTTGATCACGATAAGCTGATTTGAGTCCTACAACGTCTTATTCATTTTTGTTCGGACACATTGGTCCAGTACAGTCTGGCGAGACCTTTCCATTGCCGTTTGGCTCGAGATTCCAGCTGCCTTGCCTTCTGAGATTTTAAGGACGAGGTATCAAATAGCCCATCGTTGGGCGAAGGTGTAAAACCTACCCGAGGGCAATGGTTGATATCCTACATGTCCCGAGATGATGGCTCTCCGTGGTGGCTACCCTAGGGCAATGGTTGATATCCTACACGTCCCGAGATGATGGCTCTCGGTGATAGCTACCCTAGGGCAATGGTTGATACCCCACAAGTCCCGAGATAATGGCCCTCCGTGATGGCTACCCTAGGGCAATGGTTGACATCCTACATGTCCCGACATGATGGCTCTCGAGTCATCCCAACAATATCCCTGATAGAAAAACTCGCATCGGATCGCACCGCGGAAGCAGAAAGTTAGATGCATGTTTGTACTGCTGTTTTTTTAACCCGCAATACGAATGCCTTGCATGAGCGGCATCGACATTCTAAGCACGCTTAGCATGCTCCATCATCCTAAGCATGCTGTGTTGCTTGTTCAAGAATACCACCATCTAGCCACTGTCACTGCACTTCAACGGGTAGCTTTGCCCCTGGCCTTTTTGCCAAAGGATCGTGAAAAAATGGACACTCCTCGCCATTCATGGTAACCACACAGGCCCTGAAATGTGCCGCGCTGACTCCGCCCCGGCCCGGATGCCTGCTAACCGCTGTAAGTACGGCTGGGCCGAACAGCTTACAATCGCTGGGACTCAATCACAGAGCCAATGAGCAGCAAGTCTGTTTTAAGGAATGCGACGCAAGTCTCCATGCCCCTTTTGTGGAGCGCTAGCGACCGCATTGGCCATATTAGCGCTCAAGGGCCATAGCGCAAACGGGATTCGAACCCGGGCCCTCCATGCAGGAGCCCTACGCACCCACTCGACCGTTTCGTCCCTAGCGGTCAGTCCTCGATCCTAGCCCCTCGGCCGGAGGAATGGCGAACAAGTCAGTCCGCTTACACACAAAACATACAGCAGTCGACGACACGTTAAACCAAACAGTAATGTTGTTGGAAATACATACCCAGTGAAACGAAAAACATGTACAGGTTTGTTGTAGTATATTTAAGACCCAAAGCAGCGTGCAAAGCACCACGCCGCCGGCGTCGGACCTGCATAGTCGTAACACACCGCTCTGCTACGGCCCGCAGCGCCGACCTCCCCCGCGGTGCCGTCAGCTCGCGTTCTCCAGCACCGCACACCAGTTTCCCTGGTCGTAGTAGCTCTCCCGCACTACCAGGCCGCCGGCGCTGCGTGCGTCCTCCTCCAGCTCGCCCTGGCGGTACACGTGATAGTACCGATGGTGGACGCCAGACGGCAGCAGCTCCGCGCCGCCGCGCAGCTTCCACGGCACGAGCACGTCCTGCTGCTGGAACTCGGTGCGGTTGGTGTGCACAGGCAGAGGCAGCGCGGCCGCGTCCTCCGGTCGGCCGTCGGCGCCTGCGCGCTGCCGGCCGCGCTTGAGGTAGCCGGCGGAGCGCGCGCCCAGCCGCTGCTCCAGCGCCCATACGTAGACCAGCGCGCGGCCGGCCGGCCGCAGCACGCGGCCCAGCTCGCGCAGCGCCGCCGTGCGCCGCTCCTGGGGCGGGGAAAGGCCACACGTCAGAGGGGGAGGGCTTGCACGGAGCGCAGCCGTTCCTGAGGCAGAGGGTGGCACGTCAGGAGACTGCCTGGGGGCTCGGCCGCTAACAGCCAACGAAAGATGTGGTGATGCATCCGACGAACCGAATCATGACCACGAATTTGACGCTGACTGTTAAACAGACAGCAGCCACCGCAAAGGCCTTACAAGTGACAGGTTCCCCTGTCAACTTGGTACGGAAACCCGGACTTTATTTTCCCACGGCTCCCGCAAGAAACCCTTCTCGCACAAAACAAGTATCATACACTCTTCCCAAATCTCTTCAAAATACATTAGATTGGAAGGATTATGAAATCGGATAAATACACGCTGGAATGACCGCCGATAACTCCTCTTCACCAGATAGACAGGACGTCAGGCTCTCCATCCACAAGATCAGGCGGTAGATGTGACGTCCTACATAAATCCATGTGACCACTGACCATTGTCCCCATTCGCCTCCTATTTGGCCAAGTATAGCGATGCTCACCCGTGTGGCCAGGTGATGGATGACGGCGATGCAGATACAGGCGTCCACGGCACCGGAGCGGACCGGAAGTGGCAGACATCCGGCCGTCACCGTCTGGTGACCCCGGGCCCGGCCGATAGCGCACAGCCGGGCGCTCTGGTCCACTCCCACCTGGCAACAGACGGCCAGGATTGAAATGCTACGTTAACTGGGGCGCGGTCGTCGAAGTAGCAGCAGTGAAGCGCAGTTAACAGAAGCTCGTCAGTTCGCGGCTGGAGACGCCTCTCAGTTTGAAACCATATTCTGGGCCATATATCATCACACACACTACAACTCGAGTAAAAAAATACCGGCAAAGTCATGCCAGGATGCGAGACTCGAGAAGGCAATAAGGCAAAAATGCAAATATAGGAGGTGGTTATGGCCTTAAAAATTACAAACATGACATCCGTAGCCACACCCATCACATCCGAGCTGTCAACGACGTCAGCCAGAGCATACAGCACATAGTCGCCAACCGACGGGTGAGCTCGGTGGCGCCCTGCCATCCCCGCCGAGGCGTCGGGCGGACCGCCACCGACTCACCTCGAACAGGTGCCGGTTGAGACCAAGGTACTTTCCGTTGCCGCAGCCCACGTCCAGCAGCAGGGAGCCGGTCGGCAGCGTGCGCACGAACTGCTCGACACGGGGCCACGGCTTGTGTCGCGTGCAGCTGAAGTGGTCGGCGATGTTCTCGTACACCTGAGCAGGGGCGCCGCCGCTCAGAGAAGCTCGCGCATCCGAGACACGCCATCGGTCGTGCCTCGCCCTTCCCAACGCCTTCAGCGTGACGTGACGCCGCTCCAAACACGGCCAAAACCGGGCCAAACACGGCCAGACCGTGCAGTGCGTCACAGAACAACCACACCAAGGAAAAGAGCGCGCCTTGGCACACGCGGAGCACGGTGATCTGACAGTAACGGCACTGTCGCAGTATACCGCCAGACCTCGCGGCAGGACGGCGCGCCAACTGCCCCCACCGCGCCCAAACCGGGGCCTCACCTGAGCGACGTGCGTGCTCTCCAGTGTCCTGGAGAGTGCCGCCGTCTGCTCGGCGTCGGCGGCCGGCTGCCGCGAGTCGCACTGCTGCGGGTGCCGGCAGTGGCAGGCAGCGCGCCGCAGCCGGCGCAGGGTCAGCGACACGCGCGTGCCCCGCGGCGTCAGCGTCAGGTCGCCACCGACGCCGGCCGTCACGTCCGACTTGCGCGGCACGATGCCGTGGCTCCAGAGATACCTGGCGGCGGCGGCGCACGGCCGCAGGTGATGTCACCCGGTTGGACGTGGTTGGCAGGCCTGTTCGGACAGATCTGCTCGAGACTTAACCACCGATAGCATGGAACATGCTTAATTTTTACCAAAACGCATCGCAGGAACCATTGTTGAGCGCATCCTTCCATACAGTGTTGGATCTGGAAATAAAAATAGACCAGGACAGGAAGGATGGGAGGGCATCTCACAATCGTGAACGCCAAACGACATTTCGGACAACTGAAGAAAACTCAGCACCGTCGCCCGGCGGACTCACCTGGCCTCGCCGTCCATGACGAGCGCCGATCGGCGAGGCAGGCGCACGGCGGCGGTGGCGCCGCCAGGCGGCGGCCGGCTGAACTCCATGGTGGTGTCGGCGCCGAGGCTGACCGACACCAGCTGGTCCGTGAACGCGCTGTGGGTGTCCACGTGCGGTGGAATCCCCTGTTGGAGAAGGGGCAGTCGTCAGGGGCACACCGAGCTCGGCGAGGTTCCGTGCTGGAAAGGGGCTGCCGAGAGCGCACAAAGCTCGGCGAGATCCTCTGTTGGAGAGCCGGCCGTCGGGGTTATGTAAAGACCGGCGAGAACATCAGGCTCGGTACGGTATAGAGGCGATAATCCAGGAAATGATCGTGTAGATCAAAGGGAACGCAGACTTCGGGAAGAAGCAAAAATAAACCATCTGGCAACCATCATCTCTTTGCACAGCGCAAAGCGATACTTACAATCTCGCCAGCAGCCTCCATTGGCTTGCCTTACCCAGGATGCACCATTCTTGCCATTCACACAGGGCAAACCCAGGTTCTCTAGTAACTGTGAATGTGATTGGACTCCACGGACGATATGGTCGTTCTCACTTGGCCGGGCAGGTACCGGTTGATCGTCAGCTGGTCGGGCCGCTCTGCCAGCAGGTGGCGCGCCTGCAGCCGCTCCACCAGCGGCTCACACCAGGCGGGCAGGCCGCCGGGCAGCGGACGGGTCGCGTCCACGTTGTTGGTCGCGTAGTCAAACTCGTAGCCAAAGTGCTGCACCTGTGCGGGCCACCCGCGACCCGTGAGCCGTGCTGCAGTGTGCAGCGGAAGAAGGTGGCCGAACTGGACGATGACGTCACACGCGTGCCACACATAGAAACCTCAAGAATGTAGATGTATCGAGAGAAGACGTTCATTATTGTTCATAATTGCATCATGGATGCATTGCTAGCCAGTTTGGAGGTAAAAAACAGACTACTTGTACTGACCTGCCTGTGCTTCATGCTGCCGTCATCACCAAAGGTCAGCTGACTCAGAATATTCTGCTCCTCGGTCTCGTCCATAATGTTGGTGACAAGAGTCGCGCCGGGCGGCAGGGCGGTCGCCACCGGAGGGCAGCACAGGGCGTCGGGTACTGGGTACGTGGACAGAAGGAGCATCATTACACAATCTTAAACTCATTAGAGAATTACTCCACCATATGCTGAAATGCTGCATCTGCTTCTCACTTTTTACCTACACATGATATGCTACAACCTGATAGCACATAGTACATCAAAATAAATGTATATGGATGACAGGCATGACATCATGCATATGACATCCTGAAGCACAACAGCAAAACTGGCCACAAGGAGATATCGCACCATCTTTCCGCATTAACCCACGCCCTCCCAGCTGCAGAACAATCACGTCGATCCCACAGCTCCCTTTGCGCGGCTCAGCCGTCGCCATGCACCTGACAGGAGCCCCACCTGACTCAGTGAAGGCCAGGTAGAGGACTGGCTCACAGCCGCGGCCGTCCAGCGCCTCCACGGCCCGACAAGCCGACTCCTCATCGTCGAACTCGACGAAACAGAACTGCCGGCCGGGCACCATGCGCACGCGCCGCGGAGAGGCGTGCGGCAGGAAGCGCTCAACGATTGACTCACGGGACGCACCAGTGGTGAGGCCGGCATTGCAAACCACAACTGTCTGGAGAGCACACAGCAAGGGGAGATAATGTGGGTTAGGATGTCTTGGGAATTAACCCAAGACCACATGACATAAACATAAAAGTAGATCTCAGAAAAACTATTGGTAACAAAATAAACACTATTGGTATCCTCAAGATAGCTTACAAGCCTTTATCAAAAGATGCAGGGACTGACAACATTGGGGACAACATGCCATCTATTGGTTTGGGGATCAAAACATGCAGTAAAATGTTTCAACTTACATAATCATGCACTCATCAGTTGGCATCTGACAAGACAGGGTTAACATTGTGCAAGGTAGCTATGCTCTAACAATGTAGATTAATCATGCCAGTGGTTGCACATCCAGTATGGAAAATCTCATATACCATAGTTTGACATCAAATGCCCTTAAATTTCAGCATATTGCATGAGCTACTATGCATTTCAGCACATCAGATCCACAAATCAGGGTATGAACCATGCAAGAAATGCCTCAGTTCTAGCTAAAATACACAGAAAATAACAAAATGACAGTTCATAAAAATAAAGCAAATTGCATTACATGGCACAGCAGAGCTGTTTGTCCAGGTCATTTAACACAGGGGTTAAGTGACATGTGGCCTTTCAGGGCATAGCTACAATTAGGTGGCATGTATGACTGCATGTAGGCCACATTTTCATATGGTTTTCAGCAATGCCAATAATGTATTCATATGTACTGCATGGTAACACACATGTAGGGTCATCCATGTCATAATATATGGTAAAGTAACATTTGCTCTTAACCCTACACAGGTTTTAACTAGTGTAAAACATGAAAATGCACACTCCCATCAAGCCAAAATAAAACATGGGGACACACTGATCACCAATCCCTCAGAGGGCCTTGAACACTTGGACGTTTAAGCAAAAAACATCAGCCCAGATATTAATATCCCAACCTGAGTTGGATGAGAGGTGAGACTTATACCCTCCTTCGAACAAAGAGCAGCTGTTCGTTGCTTCTTTCTCCGGATCTTTTTATCTTGTTTATCCATCGCAATATAAAGCACATACAACAGATGTTCTGGTATGTCAGGATGATATTGAAAGTACTTGTATAGCTATGGCGAATGCCTATCCGGTGCTTCGCATGGGAACCAAAAGTCGTATATGAAACAACAGTGCAGTTATTGTATGCAAATCCGGGCTTCAATAAATTTGTTTCAAAGTTGATTTAAAAGTAAGGCTTTTGATATTCTAAACTCCAAAAAAAGGAACCAAATTAAATGCTAATTTTTTATTGAAACTGATAATTGGTCTGTAATTGTCGTGTTTGTTTTTCTTTATCACTTAACTTGGGCAATTTATTATGTCCGTCAAACCGGCGCATTCGACGCACTCAGCGCGCGTGCCTTCGTTCCAAATTTGTTCGCCCCGTTGGTCGTTAGTCGCCTTCCCGATTGAAATTGAATGTAGCGGTTGACGAGTGTTGGCGGTCGTTTGGTTGCTTAAGTCGGCCCGGTGCGGCGCGTCAGCGTTGCATACTGAAATCCTAGGGTAAGGATAACTTTGGTAGCTAAAATTGAGGGAGTTTTTAAAGCGTGCTATACTTCGCTCGGCAACCCTAAACCCGGCCTGGCGTCATCTGCGCGCCCGGTCATGAGTCAGTTTTCACGCAGCCTTTTTAGAGGTTACTTATAAGGCGCATTGGGATTGAATTAATTGTTTCTGTGCTGCATTGACTCTGTTTGGTAACTTGCATTGAGTGAAACAATTTTCTTCAATGCTCTGCGTTGCATAGTCACTTTGATTACCTGGTCGACAAACCATGGCACAGAGGCTAACAAAATGCTTGGAGCAGACAAAATCCTGTTCTGCCCCAACAGGGTAGCAACCTGCCTCACTTGGTACATATTTTGTATACATCCCCCATAATCATGGCTTACCATCTAATTCTTGTCATTTGCCATGGTGTTACCTGTTTTGAACATCAAAGAACACCTTATGATGGTCTTGATACTCCAGTGCAAAATTGTTGGCCCAAAGCTTTCATAACTTGCCCCTACATTGGAAGTTGTGCACCTTATCTACCTCATCAATATCTTATTGAATCTGCCATGGTTTGCATGCTGGGTGATCCTAGCAACACATTTCATCATCTGCAGGGACAAATGCTGCCATCACTTAGGAATTGAGAGTTACACTGAATGTCATATTTGTACCCATGGATTTAGCTTGTACAACAGCCCTCTATATTTTTGATCTTGTATGATGCTCTCAATCAGCTCACTTTTGCTACAAAGTTAGGATTCATGATGTTATCCTTATGGCTGTCATTGATACTTTTCTTCACCCTAATGAATCCAGTTATTTCAGGTATGGTTTGTGAAAATGACATTGGTACAGGGCTTACATAACTTGAATATAGTTATTCAGTACAAACAAAACTTACCCAATATGAGATATGCAGTATTCATATGGCTTAGGTGCACTTTCCTTGACAGGAATTCAGAATATGATTATTTCAGCTGCTTTAGGTTGATAGGACTGAAATCTCCTTGGGCCCAGAACACCAAGAAGCTGCCATGTTCCATGCACTGATTGTTTCTGCCCATGGCTTATGGTGCATGGAGCCAAAGATGAGTAAATCTTGAAAAATGAACTCGTCTTTTGACCAAGCACAAAATGATGTTGACTGCTTGTAATAGGAAATATTCCAACAATGCTTCACAACCAGTGACGCTGTGCAGGCATGGGTAATCAAAGTTATGCTGCTTAACCTCATAAGTAAAATTAGGCATTAGCACAACACACTGCCAGGGCTACATCCAGGCTGTCACTCTTGGGTGGAGTGGATATGCTAGCTTGAGGTTAAGATTCCAAAAGGTGTCCTGATTCAAAATATGTACATATGTTGAATATATATATATATATATATATATATATATATATATATATATATATATATACTTTGTATCTTGTATCATCAAGCTGGAAATAGTGAGTGCATTGCTGTCATCAGACTAAGCACGCAGGGGCCACACTTTCAGCAGTTCAGTTGCAGGGAGGTACTTATTCTACATGCATTTACAAACAAATCAAGGGAAGGTGCTTTGCAGGATGACAAAAATGGTGGTGTGTTAAACTGTTTACCTTCCGAAGGTTTCTGACAGTGAAAACATAATCATAGAAACAGATATTTCACAAGTGAATGATGCTGACTGCACATATCTTGACAATGCCCATAACAGCTCACCTGCTTTTGATGGTTCCCATATACACAGGTGCGGGTCAGTGACCATGGCGGACGCCACTGAGGGCGTGTGGGCGCCGTTTGTGAAGCTGAACCAGCTCGTGACCGACGTGGTGGTCAACAAAGATGTCAGCCAGTTGCCCGAGCTGGAGGCGGCGCTCCGTCGGCACAAGACAAACTTCATCTCACTGCTGAAAAACCCAGTCAGTGTCTGGCTGTTGTCTGGATCAGTTAGCATGCATGCAGTTGTGAGGGACCTTTATTGTACAATTTAAGAAGTACTGCATCATTTTTGTCCTGTTTTTTGCTCTTCATAAGTAATAAAGTCTGCCATAAGCAAGCAGTCTGTGAAAGAATCTAGCATAAAATCATAGAAAAGTCAGCCAGTAAAAAGTCTGGCATAAGTAAGCAGCGTCACCTTGAGCACGGCCAAGTCGTGCTGTCGACGGTGCTGTGCGCCTGTTGGCGCGTCTATGCTGACTGGAGCGCTCCCGCCTCAGGCGCCCAGCGCCGCGGACCGGGCGCGACTGAAGAAGGCGCCCAAGGAGGGGCTCGACGGCGCCGGCGGCGAGCTGCTGCCGCAGCTGGTGGTGGACGAGGCGCTGATCGTGTCGGACCTCTTCAAGCTGAACGAGCTGACAGCGCTCCACCTCCTGCAGACGGGTGGGCGTCTGTAGGCGGGTAGTGAGGGGCTGTCTGGTCCAGGAGGGGTTAAGGCAATTGTTGTCACGAGGTAGGAGTGGCCGGTCCAGACAACTTCTGCCCACTTTCTGGCCTTCACACTGCGCCAGCGAGGCCGACATGTCACCTTTGATACCGCGCACGCCACCACTATCGGTACCTTTGTTTCGTGGCCCGCGTCTGCGCACAACGTGGCCACATCTCCGAGCCTGACCTGGTGCATGTGTGGGCGGTGCCTGACAGGCGAGGCGCAGCGGCCCCACTACCCAGGCCTGACCCGCGGCCTGGTGGCCATCCTGCTCTACTACGACGGCCGCCGCGCCCTCGTCACCGCCCTCAAAACACTGGTCCAGGTTAGTCGGTGTTGGCTGCGGCTGCCGCGCCTGAGAGCCGAGGCGGCCGTTAACTTTGGCGAAATGCCGCGCAGCAGTTGCTGTTGGCAGGCTAAAATCAAGCCTGGCTTACAGGGCTGACATTTCAATGATGAAAGCTTCTGCGGGAGGTCCCTGTTCGCGTGTGACGATTTGTTTTGCTGATGCCCGTGTTTGCCAATGGGCCACATGCTTCCGTTTACTTTGCAGTACGTGAATATGGTAAGTACTGCATTCCCAACTGGGAAATGATATGCGTTTGTTCATTGAATAAGCTTATGATAACCTGTTGACCCATTTCGCTCTTTGGAACTGATCAAGATCGCAATAAAACACCAGCCATCTCACCAGCAGTATCCTCTCAGGCTGACTGTGCGGCGCGCGGTCTGTTCCAGGCGAGGCAGGGCATCTGCTGGACGTCAGATCTGCCGGAGAACATATCGGCCCACGTGACCATGTACACCGACAAGATTCTCGGCGATAACATGCTGGATAAGATACTGGGTAAATAACCTGCCATAGGTCAGGCGTACCATGCACTGTGGTCCGAATGTCGAAATTCACAGGCAGATTGTTAAATCTGTCAATGCATAGCGGAACCTGACAGAGTGTGTAGCAAGCCTACCATTGCAAGTCGCCATCTTTAATTAACATCGCCGGGGCATGCCGGGGCGTATTTCCGGAGGGAGTGTGCACTGGGACCGTAAATTGGCTTTCTGAATACCGCCTGGTGGCCCCAACCAAGAAGGACGCGTGTGTGCGGGCCGCGACCTCCCAGCCGAGCGAGCCGCCTGAACCGCCAGCTGAGCCAGCCCCATGACCTGGCCGCTTCAGAGCTGCTGCCCACACTCGACTGGGAGTGCGAGGTGAAGAAACTGGAAGAGTGCCGCGCGCTGGGCAGTGCCCGCTTCCTGCGCCAGCTGTCTGACATGCACGCCGAGACGCGCCAGGCGCTGGCCGACACGGTGCTGTGCTGGACGGCCCAGGCGCCGCTAGCATGGCCGCTGACCTGCCGCCTGCTGGAGTACATCCGCGGGGTCAAGGTCGGTCGGCTGGAGGTCAAGCCTTAGCCGTGGGAGACGAGGAGGACCGGGAGGAGTGTCACTGAACGGGGGCGGGGTGACGAATGGTCCGGGTGGAGTATGTGATGTTGGCGGGCAGGAAAATGCCGCTCGTCTTATTTGAGACGCGGGCAGCAGCTCTGTAGCCATTGATCGCCTGCACACACTGCACCATCATCAGGGCTGTGAACTGTGACCGGCCCGCACGAGACCACGCCTCCCAGTCGTCCGGGCGATGTCCATCTGTAACCTGAGCCACATGACGTCGGCGCTCGGCTCAGCTGACCAGTCGGCCGGCGACCCTTGACCCATGACCTGACCTGTCGGCAGGTGACCGGACGGGCCGGTCAGCTGGGCAATGTTGACCTGACGCTGCTGATGGCTCTGCTGTACAACATCAGCGTCTCCCGGGTGCTAAAACGACAAGGCGCCGAGAGTAAGCGATCGTTCACCATAGTCGGACCCTATCGTGCTTGGTTTAAAAACGAAGATAATTTGTTCTGTGCCAATTGTCATTCATGCCTTGCAAATGGGCTGGGAGAAGGGTGGGGGGAGGGAGGTGGGGGTGGCTGGCCATAGCGGGTTTTGCCATCGTCACGATACGTTTGTGTGTTTGTCGAGCGAGCTGGTGCGCCTGGTCGTACGGTACTAAACTCTGGCCCCGACATGGCTTCCTCTCCAAAGTCTCGTCAGCGCTGTCAACTTCTCGTAAACTGAACTGCTTGCTGCTCTGAACCGAATTACTTGCTGCTCTGAACTGAACTGCTTGCTGCTTGTGAGCTGAGCTGCCTGCTGTGCTGAACTGTACCGTTTGCTGCTCTGCGCGACTTGTTCTATCTGCTGGACATAACATATGTTATGTAGATTCTTTCCACACCGCTTCATCAAGCCCGGGTTCTTCTCGTGTTTCGAACTGACTCCAACAGCATGTGACCCCGCCTGTAACCAAAGCGAGGAATCGAGAACAGGCCTCTTCGGTTCGGAGGTGTCGGTGCAAAACTCTGGTAACCCCATCCCGCCACCCGTTGGCCTCTCGCCGGCCCACCCAGCCGCTCTCCCGTACCGCCTCCTACTGACGCGCCCCGCCGGCCTCGCGCAGCGCTGCTACGTCAGCTGCCGCTGCTGGCGGACGCGGAGCTGGCGCCGCAGCTGCACGCCCGGCTGGCCGAGGGCGAGGCGCGCCTGGAGCCGGAGAGACCGGCGCACGAGGAGCCCTGGCAGACGCCCGGTCTGCGCACCGTGCTCCAGTTCGCCTGGGCCATGACGCTCAGCTCGCTCCGGCCTCTCGACTACGCCTGCAGAGGTGCGCAGGCAGGGGGATGGGGGGTGGGGTCGCCAGGGGACAGGTGAGAGGCGGCATCAGTGGGAGGTCACGGGGCAGGCGGGGCGGGGTCGCCAGGGGACGGGTGAGAGGCGGCATCGTTGGGGGGTCACGGGGCAGGCGGGGTGGGGTCGCTAGGGGACGGGTGAGAGGTGGCATCGGTGGGAGGTCACGTGGTGGATAGTGCTGCGAGAGGTATGAATGGGTTGGGTTTGTGGGTTGGCAGTTGATGACGCGGATTGCGTAGATCTGCCATAACAACTACAAACACTTGGTTGTCGGTCATCGATGTTGCCACATGGTGGCCCCACGGTAGGCAGGCCAGCCCGGCGAGGAAGCGGCGTCAAGCAGGTTTACAATGTCAGCCCTGGGCTTAAATGTATTGTCAACGTCTACAGGTGGGGCATGCGGCGAAAGGCTAGGTAGGATGGGTCTGCAGAAGCATCGGTGATCTCATTTAACGCCTATCGCCTTTGAGTCCATCAAGCCCTTTCGATGTGCATGACAGTTGCGTTGCAATACATCTAGCCCTGAACTCAGCCAACTGGTTGATGAGATTTGCATTGTTCTGGTGAAGGTTCTGGGAATGGAGAGCTGGCCAGGATCATCGAGAAGGACGAGATCCTGGCAGACATGGCCATCAAGGACGGGGCTTTCCTCCACATGCGGGAGAAGATGCTGGCCAATGAGATGTTTCACACAGAGGTTAGTTCAGAAACGTTTTAAACCACATTTTTCGTAGTCCCCACTCGTGGTTTACTGGTATGCAGCTGCTGATCACCGAACTGTCCAAAACTGCTCTGACACCGTACCCCACATGCGTGCAACAGCGTCCATGAGGGCGTCATGCTTAATCATGCGACTGCAGTGTCCAAGCCAGCAGTGTAGTGGTCTTTAATACCACCCGAAACGTCGTTCATCGAACCGGCTGTGGTGTGCAGCAGCCCGGCGCCCGATCCTACCCTACCCTCGTGCCATGCCGTCTCGCTGTCTGCGCGTGCAGGAATTTTTCGTGCGGCACCTGCACGACCTGATGTCGGAGCTGATGGACGCGATGCCGCTCAAGCTGAAAGATCTGCGCAACCGCGCCGACGAGGCGGCGCACACCATCCAGATGCACCAGCAGGTCAGCGAGCCGTCGCGCCGGCGAGGGGCCCGATGCGCGGGCTTGGCGCCGGACGTGGGTCTCGGTTGTGATGTATCGTAGCGCTGTCCGCTGTGCCATGGTGTGGCGATGTTTGTCTCTGAACTGTATGCGATGGTGTGGTGTGTGGCGTTATTGTTTGTGGGCCCTTGCGGTGGATGTCCGTCGATTTCAGTTTTGAAAATGCTGCTGATCAGTCGCCAATTAACATCAGCGTGTCCTTTACCCGCCGCTATTTCCACAATACTGTTACGATGGTCATATTTGGAGGCGCATCTGCGATTCCTATCTTACACGGCAAACACCAGTCATTATCGGAGTGCGATGTCGCCTGATCGGATCGGGCCGGATCAAACCGGATCAAACCGGCTTGAATCGGATCGTGTCGGATCGGATCGGATCGGATCGGATCGGATCGAGTCGAATCGAATCGAATCCGACCGGATCTGACGTCAGCGGATGTCTTCCCTCGCAGGAGGGTCTGGAGCCGCCCGAAAACCTGCCGCGGCATTTTGAGCAGCTGCTCCGGCTGCTGACGGCTCTGTACGAGCGGGACCCGCTCGGCCTAGGGCTGTCGCGCGGGTACTGGGTCACCGAGGCGGCCAACCACAGACAGGTGAGAGCTGGCACCAACCCTGTCCGGCCACCGCGTGGGCTCGGGGCGTAAGTCGTGTCGTCCATGTGTACTACGAGTAGTAGTATTATACTACTGAAGTGCAGTGAAATTTCGCCGGCCCAACCATCGTCGAGTCGGGCTACAGCCCGCCCCTGCACGCAGTTTGCTGTGTTTCGTTGAAGTTTTGGGACACTGCAGGCCAATTCGATCTATTGACTCGGTTTTCGTAGCACTGACTCCTGCCGCTTTTCGAGTCATCTCCCAAAGCACACTTTGCTAGTCGGAGGGTCGGGCTGTGTAGACACGCCGGGGGTCGCTGCGTCGTCCGGGTACCGTGCCTGCTTGTGTTCCTGCCATCCATTCACCCGTACCGTGACCCTGGGACTGGGACGTGCCGCAGCCGTCGCTGCACAAGTTCGTGCGGCTGGCCGGTGACCTGCTGCCGCCGCCGCTGTTCGTGCCGTACGTGGAGCTGCTGGCGGCGCTGGCGTCTAGCCCGGCCACGGCGCCGCACTGCTTCAGCCTGCTGACGGCGGCCGGCACGCCGCCGCCGCTCAATCTGGCACACTTCTTCAGCTCGCTCCACCAGTACTACAACAGCCTCATGCGCGAGGTGGGCCGCCGCCGACGCTGGGGAGGGGAGGGGTGGGGGGTCAGCTGCGCTCCAGACACAGCCGTGGAGGCTGTTGACTGTGGTGGTCCGGTGCTCATTGGTGTCGGGGTGATGGTTCACGGTCACCTTGGAATTTCTGTCCGAAGAGATGCGTTGTATATGATGCTGTATGATATGGACAAGGTGGAGGACCCGGGCCATATGTAATATTACGGGTCAGGGTGTTAGTGTGCACTGTATGCAATATGCTAATGTCGGAGAGGGTATCCGTTGTACATATGCTCTTAGAGTCACAACTGGGCTTATAACAAGACATTGCTCCCGGCCGCCACTGCTGTGTGTCCTTCCATCCCCGGCTCTAGTCTGCCCCGACCCCTGACACCAGGTCAGGTCAGGTCAGGACAGTAGGTCCCTGGGCGTGACCCAACTGACCTCTCACGTCGCTGCAGGCTCCTTCAGAGCGTGACCCGGCTGACCTCTCGCGTCGCCGCAGGCCCCGTCCATGTCGCGAGTGGAGACCTACGCCAGCGCGACACCCGCCTCCAAAGGCTTGACGGCGCGGCAGCTCAAGGACATGGTAGCCATGCTGCGCCTGGTGGCTGTCATCGCAGGTACGGCTGACGGCGAGACGAGGAGGATCGCGTGCGCTTAGATCGGACACCAATGGACGGGGCATGCGTGTTGCTGCGACGCGTGCGAGACGGGTGCCTCATTTTCAAGCGCAACCGTAAATTGAGCATCAACAATGTCCACCGGGCGTAGCGGACATGCTGACAAACACAGTGGAGACACGTTGAGCAGTTGGCGGCCGTGGCGGTACCCGCCGATGGATCATGTAAGGGCTTTATTGTGATCAGTCGGGTGCGAGTTGATGCAGACGGGCTCCATGTGCCGGAGGTGTCACAAGTGCTTCAACAAGTTCGGGATTCAGAGGCTCGCCTGCCATACTCCGCCGTGCCGGGAGGCCGGATCTGTAAGCTGTGCGGCGTGATGCAGCAGTCTGGCGTGGCGCACTCGGGCCACTTCACGGCCCACTGAACACCTCTAGTTGGGAGTCTGGCACGAGCACAGTGACTCTACAGTCCAGTCCATGCGCATGCACCGCGCCAACAGCTGCAAAGCGTGCATGGTATCATGGTATCAAGCGTTTTTTTGTAGCTGGCTGGTCATTGACCTGGTGCGGTCCTGAATACCAGTGCTCGAAAGAGTTGGAGAGGGCTGGTCTCTGGAGACGATGTGTCGAATTTAGTCGGCTGGTGGCTGTGAATGATCCGCCTTCATTTCCGTCGCAAGCATTGCCCGCAGACCACGCCTGTCCGCCAAACACGACGCTCAGTTCCGCGGACGATGTGCCGGCTGCGGGCCGTATGCACCCTCGTCTCTCGACGCCCCGAGTGTCCTCACACCCCGAGCGTCCCCGTCCCGACACGCCCCGAGTGTCCTCACACCCCGAGCGTCCCCGTCCCGACACGCCCTGATCGTCCCCCGTCCCGACACGCCCCGAGTGTCCTCACACCCTGAGCGTTCCCCGTCCCGACACGCCCCGAGTGTCCTCACACCCTGAGCGTTCCCCGTCCCGACACCCCCTGAGTGTCCCCACACCCTGAGCGTTCCCCGTCCCGACACGCCCCGAGTGTCCTCACACCCTGAGCGTTCCCCGTCCCGACACGCCCCGAGTGTCCTCACACCCTGAGCGTTTCTCGTCCCGACACGCCCCGAGTGTCCTCACACCCTGAGCGTTCCCCGTCCCGACACGCCCCGAGTGTCCTCACACCCTGAGCGTTTCCCGTCCCGACACGCCCCGAGTGTCCTCACACCCTGAGCGTTCCCCGTCCCGACACGCCCCGAGTGTCCTCACACCCTGAGCGTTCCCCGTCCCGACACGCCCCGAGTGTCCTCACACCCTGAGCGTCCCTCGTCCCGACACGCCCCGAGTGTCCTCACACCCTGAGCGTTTCCCGTCCCGACACGCCCCGAGTGTCCTCACACCCTGAGCGTTCCCCGTCCCGACACGCCCCGAGTGTCCTCACACCCTGAGCGTTTCCCGTCCCGACACGCCCTGAGCGTTCCCCGTCCCGACACGCCCCGAGTGTCCTCACACCCTGAGCGTTCCCCGTCCCGACACGCCCCGAGTGTCCTCACACCCTGAGCGTTTCCTGTCCCGACACACCCCGAGTGTCCTCACATCCTGAGCGTTCCCCGTTCCGACACGCCCTGAGCGTTCCCCGTCCCGACACGCCCTGAGTGTCCTCACACCCTGAGCGTTCCCCGTCCCGACACGCCCTGAGTGTCCTCACACCCTGAGCGTTCCCCGTCCCGACACGCCCCGAGTGTCCTCACACCCTGAGCGTTCCCCGTCCCGACACGCCCCGAGTGTCCTCACACCCTGAGCGTTCCCCGTCCCCACACGCCCCGAGTGTCCTCACACCCTGAGCGTTCCCCGTCCCGACACGCCCCGGGTGTCCTCACACCCGGAGCGTTCCCCGTCCCGACACGCCCCGAGTGTCCTCACACCCTAAGCGTTCCCCGTCCCGACACGCCCCGAACGTTCCCCGTCCCGACACGCCCTGAGTGTCCTCACACCCTGAGCGTTCCCCGTCCCAACACACCCCGAGCGTTCCCCGTCCCAACACACCCCGAGCGTTCCCCGTCCCGACACGCCTGCGTGTCCTCACACCCTGAGCGTTCCCGTCCGGACACGCCCTGATCGTCCCCCGTCCCGACATGCCCTGAGTATCCGTACACCCGGGGCGTTCCCCGTCCGGACACGCCCTGGTCGTCCCCCGTCCCGACATGCCCTGAGTGTCCTCACACCCTGAGCGTTCCCCGTCCCGACACGCCCTGAGCGTCCCTGTCCCGACACGCCCTGAGCGTCCCTGTCCCGACACGCCCTGAGCGTCCCCGTCCCGACACGCCCCGGGCGTCCCCGTCCCGACACGCCCCGGGCGTCCCCGTCCCGACACGCCCCTGGGCGTTCCCCGTCCCGACACGCCCCGGGCGTCCCGTCCCGACACGCCCCGGCGTCCCCCCCCCCCCCCCCCCTGCTCGTCCCGATATGCCTTGAGCGTCCTCACGCCCTGGCGTCGTGCTGGCACCCGTCCGCAGAGAACGACGCCTCGTCGCGGCTGGTGATGTGCGAGACGCCATCGTGGCCGCCGCTGGTGGTGATGCTGCGCCTGCAGACGTGCTCCGTGCCCGGCCAGGCGAAGACGCAGCTGCTACTGACGCTGGCGGCGCTGGCCCGCTCGCCCGAGGTGGGCCAGGCGCTCTGGCAGGGCCTGGAGCAGGCGCAGGTTCTGCAGACCACCCACGTCATGCCCGGCCAGCAGGCGCGCGGCATCAAGGTGACTGACCGGCGGACAGACAGCCAGATAGTGGGAGGGAGAGGGGCTGTATGGGCGTGCTGGAGACTATGGGAACACCTTTCGCGGCCTCTGCGTCGCCGCCATATCATGTGCGCTTCTACTGTGAACTCTATGTCTCCGTCACGCTTCTTGGAGGTCTTTGATTTCTTGTTGTTTGTCACCTGCGATGGTGTACGTAATGTCCCCAGATGATTATTGGACAATGGCAATGTGTAGCGCTGGCCAATGCTGCCCGGAAGTAGTGCCGCGGTGCCCCACTCTTCGTGGAAGTAACGAACTGACGGGGCGCGCGAGGCTCAGTCCCCCGGCTCGTCTGTGTCCGTCCTTCGCTCTGTGTTGTAAAAACAGCTGGTGAACGCAGCTGGCCCCTGGCCGCTGTCGGAGAGACATGCCGCCGGCCGCGGCTGCCGCTGCGAGAGCAACAATCGGGGTTCTCTGAGTGGCCGCCGACCAATGGCGGCCATCTCGTTCCGCCCCGAACACGCGCTCGGCCGGCAGCTACAGACGCCCCAGGGTCAGCTGTGTGCTGCGCTGTGGCAGTGTGGTCTCGACGTCGTGAGCGTCCTGCCGATGATTGCGTGGAGCTGGCGGCCAGCGGTCAGAAGACATGGAGCAACTGATGGGCGGCTTAGCCGCCTGTCCGCCCGCCGACCCCAGCGCCATGACGCCTCCCCCCCCCCCCGCACCGGCAGATGGAGCTGGAGGAGGTGGAGGCGCGCGCCGAGCAGTTCGCGCAGACGCGCGCCTTCCTGCGCCTGCTGTCGGTGCTGGTGGACGCCGGCGTGCCGGCCGGTCTCGGCGCCGGCCTGCGCGCGCCCGGCATCCATCCCCACCTGGGCTTCGTCATTCACGACGTGCTGCTCAACTACAACAGCAGGGCTTACAAGGACCCGGCTGAGAAGGTGAGGGCGAGCGGCCGCGCGTCTCCACGCCGCCGGGCCGGTCGCAGCCGCGTGCTGCCCTGGCTGTGTGGGCTTGGGGTTATGTTTGGGTAGCAACAGAATGTGTAATCTGGCGGCGACCTAAGGCGGCGTATCTCGTCAAATGGTGCCAGTCTGGAGGAGTCTTGTGTCTTTATGCCCCGCTAGAGTTTGTGTAGAGACGAACTTAAACCAGATGCTTCCGACATAATTACGCATTCGGCTGTGCTAAAACTGATGCCGGCACAATATGCTTGCAGTGCTCTTGATGAAGCGTGACGGGATAGATTGGACGCAACGTCACGAAAGCCATATGGCGTTCGGTTCGCCCTACTGCGCGCTGAAAGCCGGGCATTAAGTGTCATGTTTGTTACTCCGCGTATTCGTCGCTGGATAAGTATAATATTATGTTGTGTGAAGCAGTCAGAAGCGCGGCAAGCGCGCAGCGTCGGCTTTTAACGCAACCACATGCAGGGTGCTCGTCTGGACCACCTGGTGTGGACTGGCCGTAGCAGCAGCTGGGCCGTGGCCGGTGTCTCAGAGACAAGCCATCGGCCGCGGCCGCCGCTGCGAGAGCAACGATCGGGGTTCTCTGAGTGGCCGCCGACCAATGGCGGCCATCTCGTTCCGCCCCGAACACGTGCTCGGCTGTGTTCGGCGTAGGTCTCCAATGGCAATGGCGGGAGGGGGCGAGCCGTGGGGATGAGTAGCGGTACATGGCCCATGTCATGGGACCGGAGTGGGAAGTGTTTATCATTCGCCAGGAACGTGAGGCTACCTCCGGATTCGCTGTCGTATGTTTTCCTGCTGATGCCCCCGAGCGCGTGCGTGTTACCACCGTCTGCGGCGGCTGGAGGAGGCCGCGTGCCCTGCCTTCACGGGCGCCGCACCCCCGGCAGTACGAGGTGGCCGCCGACTGCTTGGAGATCCTACTGAAGCTGGTGAACACCTACGACCCGACGGCGGGCGAGCTGGGCCTGAGCGTGAACGGTGACCTGACCTCGGGTCAGCCGGGCGCCGCCGTTGTGCTCCAGCTGATGCAGCGCTCCAAGCTACTCAAGCTGGTGAGGGGCGAGCCGACGGCGTCACCGTCTGCAAATCACGGAAGCTGTGCCGAGCAAACACCGCGCCTGTGTTCATACGTATGCAAAGCATGCACTGACAGTAGGCCGTGCGAAGCAATCAGAAGCGCGGCAAGCATGCGGCGTCGGCCTAACACAAAGTATGTTTGTCTCCGATTTGTGGTGCTGTCGGATGTTACGCCTTACATTTATCTGCACCCACCGACGTGCACATGCGTGCGAAGCTTGGCACTTTACGCGAGAGTTAACGACTCTAGATCCGCCGAAGAATTTGAAACTCAGCCAGTATAGTCGTGCGCCACACTGCAAGTGTGAGGAAATCCTGAACGATTCACGTCTTAAACAAGGTATCAAATCATACCAGGCCTGTCTGGGATGTTCACAGCGCGTGCCGTCTCGCATCAGTACCGCGCCACTAACGCCTCTGCCGCTCCCGCGGCCGCTCCTCCCAGGTGCTGTCCATCCTGGACGAGGCGTGCCGCCAGCTGGGCGAATACCGCGACGTGGCCGGCCGCGCCAGCGTCGAGCGCTGCTCGCTGCTGGCGCTGCGCCTGCTGGAGGCGGTGCTGCGCCAGCAGCCGGCGCTGCTGGCGGCGCTGCGCTCGTCGGCGGCGCAGCACCCGGAGGCGCCGCTGCTGCCCGGCCTGGACATCGAGCTGCTGGCGGCCAACCCGCGCACCGGCGCCGGCGACCTGATGGTCATGTTCACCAGGTGGGCGTGGTGACGGCCGAGGCGGCAGATGGGCGGGCCGTGGCGGCCGGCTGCGTCACTGTCAGTGGGTAGCCAGGGCAGGGAGACGCCATGGTGTTGCCGATAAGGATCGGGTTGTCTGACGTTCTGTCCGTGAGGTGCTGTTGCGGGGCCTGGAGCGGCATTCTCTGTCGCGACGGTCATGTTCACCGGGTTGGGACGGTCTTGGTGAGCTGGTGACACCATTGTAAGGTTAGAGGGACGACTGGGTAGCTCAGGAACGTAGGAACGTCTTGATCGACCTACAATGTACAGATCCAAACATCCGGCTGGCGGCGGGCGGGACCTTGTCGCCAACGCCAGCGATCAACCAACCTTTGACGTTAAAAACCTATTAGGACAGACAGTCCCATCAATCCTATATCTGCCCTGTGCCTGCGCCGACGCCCGCCTGACCTAAGTCAGTCCTGGGATGCCTCGTCGGCCGAAAACCTATTAGGACAGACAGTCCCATCAATCCTATATCTGCCCTGTGCCTGCGCCGACGCCCGCCTGACCTAAGTCAATCCTGGGGATGCCTCGTCGGCTGACCTTGTCGCCTACGCGACAGTCAGGAGCTTTTCCTGGCAGGTTGTGAGTTATCCGGGCCATCAGACACTGTCGGGCGCTCTTGCCAGTCCAGACACGGAGCGACATCAGCGGTCGTGCTGCGCCCCGTCAGGCCATGGGGCGCTGCCGCCCAGACCAGCTCCCTAACCTGTCCATGACCGTGTCGACCGCTGCCGGACAGGTACCTGGGCTTCGCGGCTGGCTGCCGGAGCACGCGGCCAGCGCAGCCGGCGTGCTGGAGCTGGTGTGTCGGCGCGCCACCGCCCAGGGCCAGGGTGGCGCATGTTCTCGGCGGACCGCCGACACGTTCGCCGAGGTCATGCTACTCGTTCGTCGAGAGTCTCGACGCGGACGTGGGGCGTATGGTTGTGACTGTGGCAGTCGGCGGGGAAGCGGGGGCGTTGTGTGAATGGCGGAGAAACGGCCCAGAGTCGAAGGGCGTGACGACTCGTAAAGCGCCATCGGCGTCGGCTTGGGCCAGACGGCTGGTATCATTGGGAATCGCTCGGCTGGCGTGGCTTTCGGAGGAGTTATGAGCCGTTGGGGCTGACATTACTGCCATTAAAACACGGTTCCATCGCTGATCCATTACAAAGCCTGCAGCTACTCGAAGCAGGGCTCACTCCACAAGCTGCACGCTGCGCTCTGTAGCCCCACGCACGCTCCACCAACACAAGATGCGCGTCAGTGTTTTCCTGGGATGCCCGCAGTGTAGAATGCCAATGAGCTCAGCAATCGCTGCGTGGAAGAATGCCCGACGATAAAACAGTCACCGTGAACGTCCTGGCGCAGCTCCCAGCTGCCGTGCGGCGCCTCTCCGCCCGCTGTTCTCCACCGTCGCCCGCTGTTGCCTCAGCCGGAGGACGCCGCGTCGCCGGCGCACGTGGCGCGCTGCCGCGTGCTGGACCTGCTGATCGCCTGCCTGCGGCTGCCGGGCGCGACGGTGGCGCACCTGCTGCTGGGCCTGGCCAGCGCCGGCGGGCTGCAGGAGCCGGGCGTCATGGGCGCGGCGCGCACCTGCCTGCACGCGGTGCTGGCGCAGCTGACGGCCGGTCTGACGGCCACCGCGCCGCCGACCTTCGCCGCCCGCTGCCCCGCTGTCGCCGACAAAGCCTACCAGGTGAGCGCGCCGGTGCCGGGCGACATGCCGTGGGGGTGACGGGCTGCGCTGGTGAGGGTGGCGTATGTGGAACATGTGGCGAGCGCATTGATAGGGAGTTGAGTGTGGTGTGGGTGGGATTGCCGTAAGGGGTCGGGTGTGGGGAAGCGTTGTCAGTTCTGACGAAAGGACGCGGGGCAGAAGTTGATAATGTTTTGAAAGGTTTGCCATTCTTTGCTTGCGCTGAACTCCTTGCCGCGTACCGTGCCGCACCACCGCACATGCTACTCTTGTGGATGCACTCCCTGACGCCCCCCCCCCCCCCCCGCATCCCCTTCGTCTCAGGTGGTGTACCTGCTTGTCGCGGCGCCGGGAAACGTCCGTCCAGACGCTGCGTTACCTGCGCCCTCGTGTACGACTTCATCTACAACCCGCTGCGCCGCGCTGCCGGCGCCGTCAGCCGGCCTGCCGCAGCTGCGCCACCTACACCTGGCTCCTCCGGCGGCTGGCGCTCGAGCTCAAGGTGCGCGCCGCGGGACTCGGCCCGGCGGCCGTCACGGTGCGGTCGCCCGAGCGAGGCGTGACGTGTGGGTGTCAGCTGACCCCGGGGCTGACGGGGCTGGGGGGAGACAGCACGGAGTAGACGCTATCTTTTGGATAGGCGTCGCTGTGCTGCGCACCTGCTTTGGCTGTCGTGTGTCTGCGTACGAGCTATGTGGCAGCCGTGGTGTGTCGTTGATGCACACACGTCTGACCTGACTTGACCCCGTGTGACTGACCGTACCCGGTGGGCGCAGCTGACTGCCGCCAGCCAGCAGCGCTCGCCGCTGGTGCGTCTGACGGGCCTCCTGCTGAGCACGGCTCCGGCCGCCGGGCTGCAGCTCGACCTCACCGGCATGGACATCTCGCTCACGCTCAGCCAGACCCTGACCGGCGCCACCGCCGGCAAACGTGAGAGCCCGGCGCCCCCTCGGGGGGTCGACCCGTGGCGTAGTGTGGTGGGACAGCGGTCAGAGTCGGGGGGGTAGGCTAGGTCGGGCTGACCCGGGACGAGGTCAAGCCTTTAGTGGTGTGGCCGTGCAGCAGTAACTGATCCGGTCCGGCCGTTCTAGTCTTGTTGAAACTATACACGGGTTAGTCATGCGGGAGCGGTCATATGCGTTGCGTCTTGAACGTGGGCCATGTACCGGATCGGAAATTGTTATGCGCCATGAAAGATGCAGTGGGAAGTACTCAGGCACTCCGCGACAGCTTTTACCGACTGTGGCTTCCGCGACACGTACCCGACTCGGCGAGCCTCGGTGCGCAGCGCACGCCCTCTGAATACGTATCTGTAGTGGGTAGTGTTCACGCCGCCCGCCCGCCGCGCCGGCGTTCGGCCGCTTCGTGTTCAGACCGGCCCGGCCGGCTGCTGATGTTTATCACCGTCGTCAGCGTCGTCCACGCAGCAGCGCAAGATCCTGGCGCTGCTGGACCAGGTCAGCTTCAGCCACGAGCCGGTGGTGCCGCCCAACTGGCAGTACTTCGTGCCGGCCAAGGTGGAGGAGGTACGCACTCGGACGCGTCTCGCGGAGGGCGCGCAGCCGGTACTGCGGGTCCTCCCAGCGAACCGGTCGCCGGTGTGGCCTGGATAGACGCCTGCGCATGGGGCTGGGAGAGTGCTGTGTTTCGCTCCTGTCAATGCTGAACGGCGCGGTGCCCGGAATGTAGTGGGTGCTGTATGCGTGCTGGCGTGGTGCAGTTGCAAA